AAAGGGGAGGGGGTTCCTGGTCCCTGACTGCCTGTATTGCACTTCTTGGTACGACCACTGGGGTGTGCTGTTTAATGGAGTGTGGTTTTTACCCCCAGAGGATTTCTGTCTCAAGATTCCATGAAGAGGACTTCCCTTCTCAGATGCCACCAGTCCGAAATGAAACCCTGCACACTTCTCTATTTGCCATCGCGGTTTTCCCTTCCTTTGTCCCTCCTTCCTTTCTTTTACGTCACGTTAGGACTCATGCCCACCTCTTAGTGGCAGTGAGTTTGGTCTTAAAAGGGCAGGCGTGATGATGTGTTTGTGCGTGTTTTTGTTTGCTTTAGAAGTGAGCACCCTAGCAATAGCAGCACTGCCAAGAGGACTTGTAACCGACTCTCATCCCTGCAAAGAATGAGAAAGAGGAGGGGCAGCCAGGAAGGAGAGGAACATGCTCTGTTGGAGCCTTTAGCCTAGGCTGCCCGCAGGATGGCAGAGGCTTTCCTTTTAATCTAATCACATCCTCCCCCAGGCAATTCATTAGGGACCCACCTGAAGCCCTTTCTTCTCTGAAGGAAGGCCTAGACACTAGGGCGGGTCAGAGGGGTGAGGAAGTGGGAAGATAGTAGAGTTCTGTGATTGTGTGCGGCTGGGCAAGGTAGTTCACGCCTGTAATCCCCGCACTTTGGACGGCAGAGGAAGGAGGATCACTTGAGCCTAGGAGTTCTCAAGACAAGCCTGGACAACCTAGTAAGACTTCGTCTCAATTAAAAAAAAAAGTGTGTGTGTGAGCTCTGGTGTCTAGTTGATTCCACCTGGGTCTCTCTTGCTAACGGACTCTACTTAGGCACCCTGGCAAGTGACTTGGTATCTGTGTTAAGATATTGCAAGAAGGGCTCAGTGGGGTAATAGGCTTAGCAGTGTGTCTGGCCGGGGTAGGTGCTCAATATTGGGGTGCATTTTGGGGGGTGCTGGGGGAAAAGGACAGTCTTCTCTGGATGGATTTCAGAGATTTGTGAGGCTGTCTTGGGAGAAGCATCATCTCTGGGAAGGCTCACACCAGAATCCCCCTCCCAGTAGAAATTAAAAGTTTGAGGAGCTAGAATGGGAGGATGTAGGGTAGAGATAAATCTCCCAGGGAGCCGGACTCGGTGGCTCAGCCTGTAATCCCGCGCCTTTGGGAGGCTGAGGTGAGT